TTGTTTTTGTTATTACTTTCCACTTCACGATTATTCAGTTACGCAACAGTGCACAGAGACATGATCATGTTACAGATGACGCAACAATATGACGTGGCATCTGCGAAACAACAAAATGATTTCTCAGAAGTGGAATTATAATTGAGATATATATTTTGGAACACTGACATTCAAAAACACGTAAACAAAACTGTAAAATATTGTTTATAATTAATATTTACTTACTATTTTATCTTTTCAGAAAATTATTTTTCCATGTCCAAATTTCAAGGATTTATTTAACAGATTCCCGTGCAGATATTTTGTGTAGGGGAGGGAGTGGACGCCAGATTCAACCCTCTAACAACCCTCTGTTCACTTCCGTGCTGCAGCCCGTCCGAACCTACAGCAATAACTAAATTAGCTCAAGCAGTAAAGATTCTAATTTTTATTGTCGAGGTTTGATTCTCGGACGGAGCACAGGCTCTCCTAACAGAAGCTTTTGTGGGTGTCGTCAGTCCCTCGAGGCAGATGCTAGAATAGTGCTTCAAGTTACGCCACTACAGAAGAATGGATACAATGACATCAATTTGGTTTTAGAGGAAACTACACCACTGTGCAGCAGATACATAGAATAACACACAAAATACACCAATCAATAGAAAATAAAGAATACTGCACATAGGTCTTCCTTGATGCAAGTCAAGCCTTTGATAAGGTATGGTATCCAGGACTACTGTACCAAACCAAAAAATACCTGCTCATCACTTATTTCCACTTACTAGCATTCTATATAAGTGTCAGAGAGTTCAGAACGAGAATCAATGATAGCATATCTAACAATTTTGCAATAAAATCAGGTGTACCACAAGGCAGTGTCTTAGGCCGACTACTTTGTTTACTGTATACAGCAGACGTACCAGTCAATGCCAACACAACAATGGGCACATTTGCGGATGATACCGTGACCCTCTCAGCCAACAGAGATCCAGCAACAGCTACCTTCACTTTGCAAAATCATCTAAATCAAATACAAGAGTAGACAAATACATGGAAAATAAAAATCAATGAAACCAAGTCAGCGAAAGTAAACTTCAGTCTAAGAAGAGAACAATGTCCTGCAGTTTTCTTTAATAACATACAAATACCTGAATCACCCAGCACAAAATACTTAGGTACTCATCTAGACAACCATCTAACCTGGAAGGAACTCATTACTAAAAAACGCAAAGAGATTGATCTAAAAATCAAGGATGTGCACTGGTTAATTGGAAGAAATTCCAAGCTCTCATTAGACAACAAAATCTTACATTACAAAACAATAATAAAACCAATTTGGGTGTATGGATAGGAAATATGGGGATGTGCTAGCAAAACCAATATTTCCATAATCCAGAGATGTCAGTCAAAGATACTACGTATGATTACTAACGCCCCACGGTATGTTTCCAATATAACACTCCATGAAGACCTGAAAGTGCCGCTAGTGAAGGAAGTCATAATAAGGAAAAGCACAAGATACCTCAACAAAATAGACGGACATGAGAACGTACGAATGCAACCGTTACTGGAACCACACAATGGATGAAGACTGAAAAGGAATTGGCCAGCCGACCTTAGAGATGGGTAACGAGGACTTATCTCTGGATAAGCCCTCTCCACGACACGAAGAATACTACAGCTAATTAGCTTATAGAATCAAATGTAATTCTGATTGCTAATTTTATGTAAATAAAAAAAAATACGCCACAACCACTTCATTCTTCATTACCGGTCGATGTTGATTCTGAACTGTTGCCTGGGTTTCCGTAACCTATAACTTTCAAATCGGGAATAAAATACAGGCGCTCACTTTGAAGTTGTTTAGCATTCCGCAGTATTGATTCTAAACCTAACAAAACAATTTAGCTATGTTTTTGTATTCCGCAAGCAGTTTCATTTCTTTTTGCCCGCTTGGAAAATTTAGGCCATGGAAATCCCTTCAATAATTTAATATCACATTGTAGAGCTTAGTTACCGATAGTGTTTTTAAATAAACCTAAATAAATATGGTTGGCAGTATAGTTTGGTAAATGGGTAGGAGGAAAGTGCTTCCTGTATCTTTAACCCTGAAGATGGATGCAGCAGGTTATTATAAGAGGTCTCACATCCAAGTAACATGATCCCAGTACTTTGTCCCGCGAGAACATGAAATCTCATATGGACTTATAATACCTCCCTCTTCCTGAGGACAGTGTAACTGTTTCGACGGAAAATATTTTCATTGTGTAGTTGGTGGCATTCCTCGTGAGGGAAGTCTCGTTTTCGAATTTTTTACGGAGCTAGATGACATGTTTGATATATGCTATAAGTCTGCTTCAAACAAGTCACTACCGTTTCCTTTCCTGTACTTACTATTCATCTCTCATACGAGGTCATGTAGACTAGACGAGGTAAAGTACAAAATAATCTTGTTATTGTGTCTTAAGTGCCATGACGTGTATTCGTACAGGTTGTGCGACGTCTACATTATATGGACGTGAGTGGTCAGCTTCACACTCCGGCCCCTTAACCCCGTATCCATTGCAGGAGAAGAAGGGCGGAATCCAGAGCCGGGATAGCACGCTGTAGCGTGAGCCGATTTTCTAGAAGATGTAAGAGCCTCGACCTCTCGCGCCCTTACGGGTCTTCACGGCCTGTTACAGGGACAGCTGCAGTTCACAAAGCGTTCTAAGAAAAGTCAAATTCCACGGAGGAGTGCAGCATCATCTTCCGAATCGTCGGTATATCTCTACCAGACTTCACGGCCTCATATTTCAGAAGACATAATCTTCACAGTAGTGTCTGTCGGAACTTCAGACCACCCTGCCTACGGAGTCAGTTAAAATGCAGCAGGCGCCGAAGACAGTTGAAATATAAGCAGCAGGCGCGGGAAGAAGACCCGGACGCGTGGTTACAAGAACTTATGTGATAGTGTGCGATAACTGAGAAGTCAGCAAGCGAAGACTTATTGTGTGACTTCAAGATTGTGTGCTGTAGTACAGTTATATTGGGAGTGTGTAATTCAAAGACACTTGTATAGCTCCCGAGTTATAAATACGTGAAGACTACTGAAGAGATTATTGTGTAGGGTTGTAAAGTGTGTAAACCCGCAACAGTGTTATAAGTATTTGTAGTTACAACCTTTAGGTTGTTAAATAAACCAATTAACAATCTGAACGGCGTCTTCAATAGCAGAACACGTTACAGTATATATAATTAACTCATTTTGTCTATAAAAACGCACAACAGAACACTGCTCTTCGGTAGTATACGACTCAACCACGGTCGCCAGTTTGACTACTGAAACCAGCCTCTTACCTACTCATGTGCGTCTGCTGACTAAACTTTCATAAAACTGGACTGTGTTGCTAATATGTGATATACATAGAAAAATATTACGTTCATTACAGATGGTTTGCTTCCATTGTGACGTATTTACCGACTTTCCCCCGTAATTTATATATGTGTTTGAACATTGATTGTCATAAATGGATTACCATTAGGACGCCAAAATGTTAATGAAGTCAATATACGTCACATCTGCTAAAATTAATTAGTTAAAATAAGTTACAAGAAATGAAAGGTTATTTGCTTAATTTTGCTGAACTAATTTTAGCTTCAACTAATAATTTGTACTTAATTAATCAGTTAAAATAAATTAAAGTGCTTTTTGCGACTGGCTATAGGTTGGACGAGCGAGGGATCGGAGTTCAAGTCCCGGTAAGGTCAAGGATTTTCTCTGCTCCACGTCGTCCAGACAGGCTCTGGGTCCACCCAACCTCCTATACAATGTGTACCGGGAGATCTTTCACTGGGGTTAAAGCGACCGGTGCCGCCGATGTCAATAAAATTTGACTCTATACATCCACTCCCCCATACACCTTCATGGCATAGTGCTTAATTAGTTAAGGACAGGGACAACTTTACCTTTAATATTAATATTTTTATTTTTATTTATCTAATTTATTTTTATTACAACCTACGTTCAGACATGTGTAAAGTATTTCTTTATAATGTTGGCTACACCTTCTGACGGTCATAGCCACCGAAACATGGTAAGGCAAAATTTATATTCTCATATTAAGCTTGTTGTATTTTATGGCTGTTCCCACTTACTCGTGTTATAAGCTGACCTTCAGACTTTATGATGACGGAGTTTAACAATAACTACGCTTACTGCCTTGGACACTGTCCATCGTCTTGAGTTTAGTAAGAGACTAGCTCTTTTCTGCAGGATTGACGAGTAACAAACTTTCTCCCCTTACACCTGAAGACGGTAACAGAAACAGTTTCCGAAACATTGCAGTTTGAAAAACACAAGACAATGGGCAATAACAAAACCGCCATATTTCTTGAGGGAATTATAGTTTTGTATATTTAATTAATATTTGGTTTTTAAGTAGAACACAAGAGGGTGAAAAATTCTGAACTGAAAGGGCTAGATCTTCCATTAATTCCATCAACGTTTCATTTTTTATTTGTAAGTGAACCTCGCTTCATTTTCATGTTGCACGTGAGACAGTGGTAACTGTCTCACGTGCAACATGTCTTCCTATAAATCTTATTCACTTAAAATGTTTGCACATCATACAACTTTAAAATTTTTAAATGTTTTTCCCTACATGTTTCGAGCAATATGTTCATCATCAGATGTTTAAAATTATAGTTGAGGAAACTGCTGTGCTTCTCTCACCGTGGTTTCGGCTATTAATTTCTAATATATGGCCCCTTTTATGGCGTATTGTCTTCCGCATCATGATTCTGTGTGGCCAACAGAAGATCACTTATTGTTTTGAGGATGGAAGGTAGCTATGCAGTAAACATCAGAATGAGTGAGAACCAACAACAACATATAGCGCGAGCCACGAGTCGAGGACGCGGTGAGACATATTTGTAAGCCACAAGATAGCCAGTAGGGAACTTATGACGTCACATGACAGAGCCGCAGCTGTGCTGCGTCACAATGCTATTCATACACACAGGAATATGTAACTTCTCACCTGACATCTCGCCCTTCTGTCTGCATACATTTTGTCCTTCTGACGATATTCATTGCAGGTGAATCCAGTCTCTGGAATATGGCTGTAGCTTGGGTAGTCTTTTCCTTCAATTCCAGGGATCTTTGAGTCCCCAGAGTGATATATATGTGTGGGGGAGTGCCTGACAAGCCTCCCGTGGTCGTGGAAATGTTCAATGAAAGCGTTCAGGTCTGCAGTTAGCGTCTGAAAATAAATTGAACATAGCATCAAATTAGGCGTCCCATTTGGGCACCTGAGTTCAACTTGTAGAAAGTGATTGTAAGGGAGGGCAATAATAACTGTTCTTTAAAGCAATATTAGAAAATTACTCCACTCAAAGCAAACATAAATTACTTGGAACTCCTTCAAACTAAACATATGTTGGTACTTTTCTGCCTTTTAACTTATTTCCTAATCACAAGTATTTTCGTTTCACATCGAATTATGTTTATTTTTGTCTTGTTTTAGTTAATTCCTTTTCCTGTGAGTAGATCAAAGACTATTATTAAAATTTATAGTGCATAAAGAATGTTAACAATGTGTTCTGGAAAGCAAGTATGTATGGAGACTACTTGCGTTCATATGTTCCACACTGCATAGCAAGTCTGAAGTAAAGTTTACATTAGCAACTGTGAACTACAGTGTCCTGTTTCCACTAGGCTGGTGCAGATTTGGACTACGTTACACTTTTCTGATAATTTGAAAACGGGGATCTTCGCCATTTTATAGTTGGCAAGATACAAATATGTTACGAAAATTGCAGGAACCCTTATGTTGTATCTCGGTGCAAAGTGTCACAAGTTTAGATCCAATGAGTAGTTACTTACCGTCTTCAACGGTATAATTTGCTCTGTATTTAATTATGCAGAAATTAGGCAATGGAGACATAGTTCCTCACACGAAGAGAGGTTAATGATCAGCTCCATGCCATGACAGCATTACCCGATATCCATCGCTGGATGAGCCTCAAAGCCGGCCTAGATCCTATACAACAGATACAAACTTCTGCCCCATCGTCTTGATCACTAATTCCACAGCCTGATCAGCATGCTGACTGAGCTATCCTGGCTCCCGTATGCCCTCAACCCATAAGGCACAGTTNTTAATATTCCAATTTAATCACTAGCTTAAATTGGACGACTTCAAGTTTCCAAGCTCCCGCTAGGACGCGTGTTTATTCAGAAACTGCACGTTTTCCCAGAAATACACGCAGACTCGTAGGTCCCCCCAGAGCTGAGACCGTTATAAGCTGGCTTCTAATAGCAAAGTCTCGGGTTCAATTCTGAGTGATTTCATACGAGATTCATGTTGACGAACTGACAATGGAGCAAGTTCTCCGAGTTCCTTCCGCTTTCCCGCGCTAATTTCTATTCTACTTTTGCTTATTTTTTTTTTACTTTCGTGGAGTGGGGTGAGACTGAGTCCACTTTGTACGTCGGCCCCTAACTGGCCTATTGTACCAGCCCCGGATGATAGATGATGATGACTATGGAGCAGTCAGTGGAATGAGAATTGGCAGGAGAAATCTAAGTACTCTACAGAAACCTGTTCCAGTGTCAATTCGCCCACCATGAAGCGCACAGGACCTGACCTGGGCTCGAACACGGGCAGCCGCGGTGGGAAACTGGTGACTAACAGTTCGACCTATGCTCCGTGAAGTGTGCGACAACCCTGACCGGTCAGCACATTGTCGCATCCTCGGCCTGAGCTGGGTACCTTATCCCTGTCCTGGGATCACACAACATGAAAGTGTCAGTTAATATCCCATGCATTGATCATAAATGTAGAAGTACAAGTTCCGTTTTCACGTAAAGACTGGAAACAGCCATTCGTTATGATGTCTTGTCCTTGCTGCCTTGCTCATGCAATGAAGACTTGCATAAATGCATACAATACGTCAGAACCCTCCGTCAGCGAGCTAGCTGTACGCCCAGCGCTAGTGACGCTCTCGCCTCTACAGTTCATTAGTCCACAATTTCTCTGATACCTCGGTTATGGGACTGAAACTTAACAAAAGTAGAGTGGACTTCCGTGGTATGATATTTTCACATGTTGCAATGACTTTAGACGCGGGTTTGGAAAGATGAGTCGATTTATTTGATCTTCACCAGGCGGAACTACAATTAATTATGACACTTTCAGTCTTACTGTAATTATAACTCTTCGTAACGAAGAAAAACGATAACTCTTTGAAGTTTACTGTATCTACGCCACATAAAATAGACTTCTGATTTTGACTTCAGTTCAGAGATCAGATTTACTTTACGACTGACGGTTTACCGACAATCAGTTCGTCTTGGCGACAAGCCCCTTGGTACTCACAGTCAGAATTTTTATTTTCCAACTGAATATTTGAGGTTATAGTCCTTATCTAACATCCTCTCTGACGAGAGGGTGTGTCAATTGCTTCTGGGCCTCACAAGCACAGCCATTCTCAGGTCCGAGTCCCACGGGACTCATGACTAAATTTTACGCTCTCAGAATCGTGACTCCCAACCTGGAGGGCCAGGTACACGTATTTATATCCCCCAGGAATAAGGCGGCTTGGTTATGCCCCCAGGCACTGGGTTACCTTTTCGTCGCCCACTGCGGCTCGCAGGGCTACGGTGGAGGTATTCGACCCCCGCCTTCACTTCAAAGGCTCCTTCCTAGTTATAACTGTTAGGCGGCCGTTATAGCAAACACCGCCTCGAAGGGTGTCACTTTGCTTATTTCTCTTTTAAGAAGTTGTTCCTGTGCAACCTACAGTCGTTGCCGTGGTTATAGGCTTTCAAGAGTGAAACAGCCAACTATAGTAACTAGAACCGTTGCGTAACAATGGACTCCTATTCTTGACGCTTGGGAACGTGTTTACTTATTCGCTTCTTAGAGACGGTCCAATCTATCACAATATTGATAAAAACTTCACGAAAATCACAAAAGCGACTCATACGCTGTTAGGGAGAAAGGCGTACCTCTGAATGCGACACGTGGCGGTTAGTTCACAAGTTGTTGCGTAAGAGCGGGTCGCCTTGCTGACCTTCCGGCTACCAGCTGTACATCGCTTTGCCCAGGAAAGTCATTCTGTATACACACACGTCATTAATTGGAAGCCCCTAGGCCCTACACTAACGCAGAGCGGCAATCACTTCCATTAACAGATTGGGAAACATACTGGCCACGTGAAAGTTGTGTTGGCTCCCTCTATCCCAAACTTATGTACCGTTTATGAAATAAGGTTTATTAATCATATTTATAGGTTCTCGGTTGTCTGAGGCACTATGTTACAAGCCGGAAGATTACAGGTTTGATTCCCTATGAGGTCACTGGATTTTTCAATTGACGTAATACTTCCAGCCGCACTATGGCCCTGGGCTCGAATCAGCCTCTAAGAGATGTGAGTACCAGGAATCTCCGTGGGGTAAAGGCCTGCCGGCGCCCAAGGCTGACAGCTTTATCGCCATCTGTGAGCCGACTGTCTAGAAAATGTGACAACTTTGACGTCTCACAAACTTATGGGGTTCCACAACCTGTTACAGGGATAGATTTACGTTTTTACCATTCCAGTACCTATCTTGCCACGCACGAGATAACTGGGTTACGAGCACAGGTTCGCTTGAGCCGTCCTTAGCGTTGTGGAGATAAGAAAAAGAAACATTACAATAAATATTTTGCTANGAATCAGCCTCTAAGAGATGTGAGTACCAGGAATCTCCGTGGGGTAAAGGCCTGCCGGCGCCCAAGGCTGACAGCTTTATCGCCATCTGTGAGCCGACTGTCTAGAAAATGTGACAACTTTGACGTCTCACAAACTTATGGGGTTCCACAACCTGTTACAGGGATAGATTTACGTTTTTACCATTCCAGTACCTATCTTGCCACGCACGAGATAACTGGGTTACGAGCACAGGTTCGCTTGAGCCGTCCTTAGCGTTGTGGAGATAAGAGAAAGGAACATCTTCTTCTACCGAGCAGGTTGGCCCTTGCTGTGTCGCTTCTGGTTTTAAACAGTAAGTCTTTGGTTCGAATCTCTGTCTATTGTTCTGACAGGTTTGATGGTTTCCTAAGCCCCCTAAGAGTAAATTTCCGGGTAATATTTTTAATTCGGTCACGGCCTCTTCCTTCCACATCTTTCCCCGTTCACTTCCCACAATCATGTAATAATTTGACGCATGTCATCAAAGAAGTTAAAAACAAACGAAATAGTAGTTAGAAGTATAATATTATACCTGGAGTGGGGGGGGACAGAGCCCTTTAGTCCTGAGTCACAAGTGGACCCACTGTAGCGCCCCAGGTGAAGGATGAGAGAATGGAATGAGAATTGGCAAGGGAAAACTCAATTACTAGAAGAATGTCTTGCTTCAGTGTCACTATACCCCCTAGAAATCCAACGTGGGGTCTGTTGGGATTGAGTCCGGACCTCCAAAATAAGAATCTTGGAATTAAGATATGTGGCACGGCTCAGTGTTACAGATCACTGACTTACTCTTTGTCTCTGTTGCTGTATGGTGGTTTCATCTCGACACGTGGGCGCGTTTTTATTGTTTCTTTCTCTCAGCTCCTTGAATTCTTTGTGCACACTATGCACCTATCCAATCCTAACCTTTCACCTATTCTTCTGTCTTCCTCTAATTGAAACCATATTTAACTACCCTGCCCTGTCCACTCTAGTCACTTGCCCAGTCGCTGCAACTTCCTCTTGGTATTAGACGCCAGAAAGAAATGTAATGGCCACTGCAATGTGCCTTCTACTCTCTGAAACTGCTGGACAGTGCACAGCCTCACTGAAAATAAGTCCGTATGTGTTCGACGGAGTCTCCAGTATGCCCGCTGTTCAGTTATTCAGTCATTCAGTATAGAGGGGGTGGGTTTCCCCATGCACCGCGACTAATAATCTATTGTACATCCCCCTTTAATTTCTACTGTCGCCATACCCTACCGATACTGGTGCCCGCTATCTCCCCTTTCTGCCAGCGAGGTAGGCCCTCTACTGGTACTGGTACCCGATAACTTTCCCCATCTACCGGAGGCATTGGAAACTACTTGGACGGGAAACTCTTTGCCTAATTTTGCTCAGAGGTCTCCTAGAGACATGAGGGTCTTTTACGTGCCGTAAATCTACGACACGGGACCCACGGCTTAAAGTTCCTCCCGGAGGCTTTGTTCCCTGAATTTTTCCGCCCTTTAAAATTCCACGACCTCCGCCGGGTTTGAACCCGCGTAACTTGAGTCACGAGGTAGGAACGTTACCCCTAGACTACGGAGGCCGCTATGCCCGAGGTTACTTCCTACCTTTCCTATGCTTAACAACGTAGTATATATTTGTATGAACAAATTTGTGACGATGGTGCATTATTAGAAACATGGTGTTTCTAGATATTACCATCGGCTTCATTTTATTTAAAAACACAAGGTTTCGGAGCCTGCATTCCATCTCCGTCTTCAGGTGAACCCTACTCCGTTGGGTCCAATCGATAGAGCTAGTCCCTGCCTCCGGACACCTGCACCAACGCAAGATGGGGTATAGAAGCAAACACAGCTAAAGACTTTTGCGTTGGTGCAGGTGTCCGGAGGCAGGGACCAGCTCTATCGATTGGACCCAACTGAGTGGGGTTCACTTGAAGACGGAGATGGAATGCAAGCTCCGAAACCTTGTGTTTTTAAATCAAAAACAGGGTGATAGTCTCCAGAAACACAGCGTTTATATCTATTTATTTTGTTGTTTATTTAACTTCGCTGTTACTAACTCCAATGACAGGGAGATAGCGACCAGTAAACCCGGGAAAATATGTTGGTGTAGCAAATATGATCCAGTTTTGAGACATTACCCATGTGGGAGTTTGCTTGAAGAGACTGACTAATCCCCCGAATTCCCTTTAGTGAAGATAATCGTTGTCCCGGCCGAGTTTCGAACCGAACATCTGTGGAATACAAGTCAAAGGCGCCACCGATTCAGCAAGCCTGATCAGGTTTTACAATTTAATACTAAGGTTCAGAACATTTAGATGTTTGTACATGACGTATTCGTGCATCACAAGGAAGAATTTCCAACAAATAATCCGTGAAACAGTCACGGATGAAATAATAAAGAATACATCATTCAGATCTCACGATTATAGCATATGCTTATGACTTTTCTTTTCTCTGTTACTGTAACTTCTCTACTTGAATTACTCACGGAGCGAAAGCTTGTCAGAAGAAGAGAGACTTCAAAGACTGTCCTTAAAATACTTTCTACTTTGACGTTCAATTTATTTTATGTATTCTCAAGAATATCTTCAATAATTTTCCAACAAAATTCATCTTTAATTCTGAATATATTTAATTCGTTATGCATTGACCTATGGCATAAGTGTCTGCACATCATACAAGTTTAAGAGCGTACATTTGCATAGACATTGCATAAAGCATAATATCGTGAGCATATCAATATGCAGATAACCGTCTCGTGGGATGTGACCTGACTAAGCTGCAGCGCTTCCCAGAAGCCCGTAACCTGATGAAACAGAGAACCTCAGAACTCACAGATACTTCCGTTCTCATGAAACAGTTCAGTCAATTCTGATTCCTGTCACAGCTTCTCTACCCACTCTGAAAAGGCAGCACGGATATCTGACACCGCGTGACATTTGTATTATTCATGGCGCTGAGCCCTTCTTGAGAAGCCACAAATTCTGCAGCTACATAAAGAACTTCGCAGAATTTTATGGAAGCCGAAAGATCATCACTGTGTTCACAAGAGCATTCCACTGGTACCTATCCTGAGCCAGCTCAAACCAGTCTATACCACCGGATCCTATATCTCTAAGAGCCATTTTAATATTAACCACCCACCTACTTTTTGGTTTACTTAGTGGTCTTCTTCTTTCTGGCTTTCCCACCAATATCCTATACTCATTCGTCTTCCCCATTCGTACTACATGCCCTGCCAATCTCACCCTCCTTGACTTGATCATTCTAATTATACTTGGAGAGGAGTACAAGTTATGAAGTTCCCCATTATATAGTTTTCTCAAGCCTCCCGTCACTTCATCTCTCTTCGATCCAAATATTCTCCTCAGCACCCTGTGCTCACACATCCTCAGTCTGTGTTCTTCCTTTAATATCAGAGACCAAGTTTCATACCCATAGAGAACAACAGGCAAAATTATAGTTTTGTATATTCTAATTCTTATGTTTCTTGACAGCAGACGAGAACAGAAGCTTCTGCACTGAATGGTAACAAGCATTACCCGAGTTTCAGTTCCTCTTTAATTTCCTTATGAATCAAATTTTGATTTGTTGCTGTCGTTCCCAAATATTCAAACTGTGCCACACTTTCAGACATTGTATTCTTAGTGAGAGAAATTATGGAACATTTTGCATGCTCAGAGGCACCGACGTTACATTGGACGGTCCTGTGGAACTGCTGGAACCAAAGTGAGCTGATTTTGTATCCTACTTCATGCTATTATCTTCCAAGTTAAATGTGACCGAGATTCGTTTCATAACTTCATGACTAATTTGAACATCATCCATCTAGCTATATCTAGGTTTTGCAAATGCTCTTTTCCTTTGAGATATCCCAAATAATATTTTTAACAACATTGTCACTTCTTCCGTACTTATGATACGTCAAGACCATCGCTTGTTTCTCGGTTCTAGAACCATAGAGGTAATATTTGAAGAGTAAAAACTATAAGTCTTTAGACAATTTTCTCCACTCTTCTATTGTCTTTGTGTGTTTGTTGGTCTGTTTGTCTGTTTGTCCCTAACATTTTACTTCGAATCACTGTCAGTTTGTTTGAGACCTGAATTCCTCAAAGAGGCAATTGTAAAGAGATGGTCCTCTGGCTTGCTATTGCAAACGGTTCATCCGAAATATCTTTATAGCTTGCAGCCTGCTGTGTGCTCCCGCCATGTAATAAGTAAGCAACAATTTACCCCACGCCATATGGATATACATTACTCAAAATTGAGACATATAAGAATATCTATTATCTATTTTCAGGGCAAAAAGAATTAAACAACAACGCACTCCCAGAATCGTATTTATCGACGTCTAGAAGAACCATATGTCTTCATCATTATTCTTCTACCCTGGGGATGGAGGCAGCACGTGCCTCTGAAACGTCAGCTATCATCTACCAGACAGGACGGGAGCAATCAGCAGACAGCCCCATGTCTTATAATCTGAGGAAATAACAACTGATTCTACCACTCGACAAGTAATCATCCAGTCTATTGATAAAGAGACAAATCAATCAGTCAGACTAAGAACCATGCAACCACTCCATCTGACATTCAGTCTCCAGGCCAACAACTCAGTCAATCAGCTCTCACAAACACTGGCCATCAAGTGAACAACCCGGTCGCATACCTGTGCTGTGTAGAACGGGTAGAAGTGATCCGAGAACAGTCCATGGTGGCTCTGAAAGAAGTAGCTGTCTGTGTCCTCCAGGTACAGTGGCAGGTTGCTGCCTGCCTCAGGCTTGGCCGGCAGCTCAAGAGGAACAGGTATCGGTTGCCGGGGTGGCGCCGGCCTTTGGCGAAGCTCGTGTTTGTAGGTGCCAATGGGGGGCCGAATGACGTAAGTGGAGTCGATCGTAACGGGATTCTGGTAGTGGTAGCGCCCTTCCGGTGGGACGTACCGTCCGTCAGGCGTCAGTACCAGCTTAATAACGGACATATCGAGGTCCGAGTTGTGACGAAGAGAAGGGTGTTTCTCGTGGGCCCTGGCATCTAGCAATATGCCGTCAGGGATGGATATGCCGTCCTTGTTGAGCCTGTTGAGTGCGAGCCGGTCGGCCCTGAAGGCATCGTCTGGTATCTTGCCTCCGCTGTGTGGCAGCACCTGTTCTCTGAAGATCTGTCGTTTGCACTGTCAACAGAAGCATGATCGAGTCGGTTATTTTACACGGTTCATGACTGTTTTAAAGAGACACTAGCAGATCTGCCGGATTCTTACAACTGTTTAAAGGCTAACTGATGCAGTGAGACAAAGGTTGATCTACTGACTGATTGTCCTCGTCAGAGCCTCACTGTGTAATTGACATACTGGCTGTCCTGTTGCTCGCTGACTCATTCAGACACTGGTTGGTCCGCCGAGTGGCTAACTGCATGACATACTTAGATCTACCAACAGGCTGATTCGTCGTCTCTCTGACTGTTTTAATGAATTAATGATCGAGCTACAGACTCACTACGTGGATCAGAAGCTTTGTTGAATAAGCTAATGATTATTAATTAATTCACTTCCGTTTTTAATTCAAAATGTCTTGAAAATCACACCAATTTTTATATGTTTCAGCCATACTTGGCCAACTCAAAGGAATTGCTCACTTATAGAAACTCTCGCAGTGCACTAGATCGTAAGTCAGTGTCGTTCCATATTGTTGCTTAACGTTGTTCACACTAATAAACCTCGCTCTTTTTCCGCCTTATCTTCCTGTTGGGCTTCCATGTTTGTGTCACCGTCGTGTGTATATTCTCACTAGTTGGGCATATGTCCCTTGCATGGTCGTTCAGCGTGATAGTTCTCGCTTATATATCTTTCCTTTTATTTTTAAAAATAAATGTATATACGAAAAAGGCCCAAACAATGCCCACCTGGCTTTTTTTTTTAACTTTTCTGGGGGTGTGTGTGATTCTACTTGTCGTAAAGTTCATGTAATATATGAAATACAGGGTTGTGTCGACGTATATGTCGTTCATATGTAAATTGTCCCTACTGCCTTTATGAATGTGACAGTTTTCCAAGGTATTTAAATGTCTGCCTTTCCTTCCTGTCCTTAAGACATCTAGGCTATCTGTTCCATATATGTGCCTAATGTTCAGTACGTGTATATGGCTTGAATACCCGGAATTAATTAAGTTGTTTCTGATGGCGTTAATGTGTCCTTTGTATACAGTATTGAATATTCTTCCTGTTTGACCAATGTAATTTACTGGGTAGTCTAGGCATTTCATTTGGTAAATGCTGCTACTGTTTTATTTATTTTTTGTTTGTAGTAATTTAATATGCTTTATTGTGTTTTGTGTGGAAACTGCTTATTTTTCCTCGTGTTTTTAAAAGCTCAGTAGTTCGTCTTACCTCATTGCAGAAATATGTAAAGGCAGCCAATTCTTTTCATGTCATACTTTGTGTCTGTGTGTATATTTGTTTTTGTAGTTGTGGACGTGGTTTCTAGAATAAGTTTTTGTAAAATTCATTATTTCGTAGTATGTTTTAACGGTGTTTATTCCTGCTTGTTTTGCTCTTTTGGTTACTGGATATCTGTGTAATCGATTTAGTAGGTAGTTAATACCTGACAATTTGTGTGTTTTTTTTGTTAGTGGGGTGGGACTAAGTCCCTTGTACTGCGGCCAATTTTGGCCTATTGTACCAGCCTCAGATGATAGGCGAAGGTTATTGGGGAGCAATTGGTGGAATGAAAATTGGCAGGGGAAACCGAAGTACTCGGGGAAAACCTGCCACAGAGCCACTTTGTCCACCACAAATCCCACTTGACCAGACCCGGGATGGAACCCTGGCTGCCGCGGTGGAAAGCCAGCGACTAACCGCTTGAGCTATGGCGCGGCCTCGACTATTTATGTTAATATGGATGGTGAACCATATGACCTCCACAGGGAATATATTGGGAACAATAACAGATACAATGCACGTCATATAAAGTCAGGAATGAAAGGCAGATATTTGATTACCTTCGCAAAGTGTCACGTTCATAAAATCAGTAGGAACAACTTGGATATGAACGACACATATATTGACACATACAACCCCATATTTCAGACATTACACGAAATTTACGAGCGATAGGAGCAGATACACCCCTAAGAAAAGATATACATATAAGCGGGAACTATTGCACCGAAGGCCCATACAAGGGACATGCACCAAACTAGTGAGAATATACGTACATACGAAAGAGGGAACTAAGTACATAAAAACAACAGAAATGTAAAAATAACAAATTCATGAAATAATAATACATCTTTGCATTGACAGCTAACATATTGTACAAGATAGAAACATGGTCGTCGAAACGTAAAAACCAGAGGGGCGAGAGAGGTTTCTTCTACAACACATTATAATGTAAACAAAGATATACAACAGTACGGAAATATATTGACTTACGATCTAGTGCAGTGCGACGGTTTCACTAAGTGAACAACTGCCTGAAGTTGGCCAAATAGGGCCGAAACACGTAGAAGTTGATGTGATTTTAAATTAAGGAGACAATGTGAACAGTTTTAAGTTGCATTAAACACGGAAATGAATGCAACAGGATGCTCAGATATAAGCTTAACAGTTGTTACTCGGCTTCACTGAAGCCCGAAGTTCCATCGCCCATATCTAATAAGCCCATATCTGTAAAGCTTTTCCTAACAACTCTAGTTTCCAAAATGTTGTGTTCTTTAGTGATTTTAGAATACCGGACGGCGAACAAAGTCCGAAAATTCAGTAATCCCAGTCGTCATACACCATCGGCTGAACCGTTCAGAATCTACTGGCCTGAAGCAGCTTGTGTCTGCGGTTCAAGTGTCGCAACCGCCCCCGTTTCATTTACAGCCTTCAACAGCTCCGATATATTTCATAAATAACAAAGCACGCCTTTGTAAAATATGACCCATTGCACGCTTACTTTGCCTGCCTTCATTCTGTGGCCAATCGCTTGCACTTAATGTCCTTACCCCGGAGAAAGAGATCACGTTTCTTTAGTAACGACCCTGTTCGCTAGTACATCCTGGTATATTAGGAACTGAAGCTTCACAGTAAATACTTACAGCTGTTCCTACGAGAATAGAGAACAACGATAATATCCTTCGTTCAGACAGATGAGATCTCATACCTGCAACAAGGATCTGGCAGAATGACACATTGTAACCCCACCATCGAAATCCCCCCCCTTTCTTTTTCAGTAGCCAATAGAGTTAATTATAAGAATTTATGAAGAAACAAAGGTTTAATTAAGACACGATGTAAGAACAATGAATAGGCGATGAGCAGATATATCAAACTTGCGCGCACAAGGACATCTGCTAGTCCTTGCGGCCAAGCATCTGTGGTTATTTTCCAAAAGGGCAGAAACTTATACTTCAAGAAACCCCACTGAGATTCTTTAGAAATGTAGAATTAGCCTTACGGCGGCAAGACACTATGAGAATTCGAAAAATGAGTTTCTACCAGCCATAAGTCAGAAGTGGGAGTGCCAGGAGATAATTAGTGAACCCTCATAAGTTGCATCGCTGCCAATTTCGCCGTTTGGTCTTTTAGGGCGAAATTCCCTTAAAAATAATCTGTTATTGGCCGGAACCAAAATTAAGCCAACTCCCCTTATTTCAATCGACCTATGAGGGAAATTAGGAGGAGAGGAGAACAGGCAGATACAACTCAGTTAGGACCTCTGGCTCGGCACAGAGTTCAGTCTCAGAGTTTAGTCGTCTATCAACTTTTGAACTTGGCGGAGGCGAACCCCGCATCACACGCGCTAAAAGATAATTCTAAGAAGTACAAAATTTTGCTCTCATAACGACTCATATTGAGATTTAGCTTAATCAACAAGAGCGCGGCACAAAGGAATTTGGCGAGCTGATCGAGTGCATTTTAGTGTAACACCCGCTGCTTGTAAGCCAAAACTATATCACATTGTGAGAATTTATGCAGCCGAGTGTCTTTAAGAACAACAACAATTAAGTGTTGTGGTGGTACAGTGAATTGTTTTGATTAGAGGTGTTTCACCCTCACTTATCCGAGCCTGACCCGTATTCGACCTGAAGAGAGACTCATCTCCACTAGCTAGACAAACCCACCGTCAGCTTTCACATGCTCACTCCTTCCCCACTTACTATGAATCGTAAAGAGTCTCTAGTTGTTTGCTGGCGCCCATATTATCGGATCCAAATCCTGAAACCCAAACCCTCATAATCTCAACTGAAGGAAGAAGCGGTGGAGCCTGGTCAAGCCGAAACCAGCTATGACCTAGCAACTTCAGCAGCGGCAACACCATGTAGGGCAGCGTCAAAGTGGTCATCGGAGCGGAGGGGCCGATGGTCATCGACTCCCACTCCCTGCACTACTATGCAGACGGAGCCGCAGGCGGAAGGAAGGAGGGACGGTTGCAGAAGATTAAGTGGAGCCCAACGTAAGGGCGAGAAGACGATCGGTAAGAACATCTTTAGTGTTATTCACAAAGAGGAACAGAAGCACCTCGTCCTATATCACTGCTTTGAGTAACTTCACGAACTAGCTTACCAAACAAAATAATTAACACAAAAAATAGAATGCTGTGTAGTAATGAATATGAATTAAATTGAAAACAATATACTGTGGCAAGTTCTCCGAAACCCAGATCAGTTTAACCAGAGAAGAAGCCGTTTGCTAGGTTATGACACTCTAAGGATCTATGATATGATTAACAGAGATCCGTTTCTGCTCAGCGACCGGAAGCATTACGTGACAGAGGCGACTGTTAGGCATGTAACAATAGAGAAATTGTGGGAAGCAATGTTCTCTGTTGTGCCCGGGCAGAGTCTATATCTGGAGACTGTGGCTGATAACCCCGCATGGAGGTGGGTTTGAATACCTCCACCCAAGCCCTGGGAGCCCTAGGAGGCGACGAAAAGGGAACCAAGTGTCTGGGAGTATAAATATGTCTCCCTGTTCCTGGGGGATGTAAAAACGGGCACCTGGCCCTCCAGGTTGGAAGAGCCTCGAATGTGAGAGAATAAAATGTGGTAATGAGTCCCGCGAGACTCTGACACTAGAATGACTGCGCTGGCGATGGCCAGCAGCAATTGTAAGCGACACACCTTCCTTTGGTCAGAAAGGATGTTATATAAGGACTACAACCGCAAGTGTTCAGTTGAAATACCGTATTT